GGGAGATGGTATTTTGCGCCACTTTTATTACTTGTAATTTGCGCCACGAATAGGTACATTTAAGTACGTATGTAATTTGCGCCAAAATATAAAAATATAACATGTATTTTGCGCCACATATACTAATTAATTTTGGTATTTTGTGCCACTAAAGAAAACAAAATGGAATATGTAATTTGCGGTTGATTTTGGCGCAAATTACATACGCCCGTTTGGGTCATATTTTGCGCATATGGGCTACAGCCCCATTTAGTCTTTTACGTACCACTAACGAGTACCACAGTTTGAGAACCGCTGCCCTAGGGTATYAGTTTTCTTAACAGTCTCGTCTTTTGGGGATCTAGTTAACTGGGGATCTAGGTGATAGTGGTGAAAGGTGATACATCGTCATCGCGTCTTGTCTATCAATGACAAAAAACTCGCGCCATTTGACGGTTATTATATTGATAGCTGATAAGGAWAATGTTAATTAMAAAAGTTTAAAGTACCTACAGAGTAGTTAGTACACGGACAGTGGTAATTGTGTATAATACTATAATATCTATTCCCTTACTGGCGTGAAAGACCAGCGATTAATAATTTTAATTTTAATCTCAATATCAAAATATCTTTTCAGTTTAGTCGTCACTGATTTCACGTCTATCGTTTTAATTAGATTTATACCATTAAAAACCTTTTTCAATTCCGTTTAAATCATGGACAAAGACTTAACGAATTTWAAAAAATGGTTCCGACAACTGGGACTGGAAGATGATGGCAAAATAAATGAAGAGGTGCTAAAGAAGTAAGTTATGTCTTTCATACTCGAATGTGTAAAATTTATTTCAATAGTGATAAAAATAAATAATATTCTGTGATCTGCTTAGGCTGATGCCACCCCAGCGACGAGATATGTGGAGACACATTATTAAACATGTACGTCCCAAAGAAGAGGTGGATTTGATTAAGAAATCTCTGTTGTTACATAAACTCCAAAAACGTCAAAAACCGTTGTTGGTAAGAAACCTAAGAAAATAATTACTTTATCAAAAATKTTTAATTAAATTATGTTTTTATTCAACTTAAATTGTTTTCAAAACAAATATGTTATTGATAATTCAAAAATGTTTGAAGCAAGTAACTATTGAAGTCAGAAATTTATAGGAGTACATAGTTACCTTCCTAAATAACTTTTTTGTGTTTTTTCAAATTAGATGCATAGGTGCTAAATTTTTGATTTGCATTTTATTATAATATTAGTGAAATTTACAATTATTATCATCTACCTCATAGTCTAGTTATTATAAAAATTATTTTGGATTCTATCACTGTGGTCACCTTTCTCATATTATAATTTATTATATGATGTTATATTGTTGTTCATTTGTATGCTTATATTWAAAAAAATACCTTATATCTATTTTCTAAAGCACATGATGTAAATATTATTTTTATTAAATAGGTCCTAAATAATAGAAATAATAAAAAAAAAATTTACTATTATTTATTTTATTGTTTAAGTCGAAAGTGGAATCCGATATTGATCTTGCCAATGCATATAAATATGAAGATTTGATAACAAAGTATAATAAGATTCAAAAGGAGATTGTTGATGCCAAAATAAATAACAAACAGTTTAAAATGAATTTAAATGAAAAAATTGAACAAAAAAGAAATATTATTAAAAATATTGAAAATAAGCAAGACATATCATATTTAGMTAATCATAAAACAGAATATTATAATGAATTTATCAAAATGTATAGTGAATTGTCAAATATTTGTGAATATTTTTCAAGAGAACCAAATAAAGATTTGACCAAGGCTGATTATGAGGTAACATTTTTATACAAATTAAAAAGTGATAAGTAATGTATGTTTAGTTAATTTGTAACTTTCATTTTTAGGATTCATTGATTATATGTTGTACCGAAGTAGATGATGCTAAACAATCGGATGTAATGAATGATAGTGTAAATATTGGAAAAAAGTTGTGCAATGCTATATATTCAACTATATGTGACAAATCTCCTGCTGTTTTACTCCAAACTGTTGAAGATAATCTAACCTTTAATATAAATAGAAGTAAAGAGACAATTAGAGAGGCTAAAGAAGCAGTAGAACATGACAAGTATATATATTTTTGGCCATAATTTTTTAAAATTATATTTTCTCACTCTCATATTATACGTTTTTATTTTAAAAGTGCCGATGAAATTGTGTATGATGAAGTACTTAAGAAACTTTTTCAAAAGCAATTAGAGTTAGAATCAAATTTATCCAACTCATTAACTGAAAAGAAATGTGTTTTTGAAAATTTAAAAAAGATAACACATCTGGTTAAAAATGATGTTATTAGTCAATACAAAGTAAATTTAAATAATAATATTATAAACCACTAATTAACCAACTAGTATGACATATAGTACATTATTTTATTACATTTATTTATATACAGATTTATCTTAATATCATTTTTATGTTTAGTTRAAAAATTTATCATGTACTGAACGTGAACTTCAAGTATTTATGAAAAATGTAAAAGAAACTTTTCAAATGTGGTTTAAAAATAGTTTAGAATGTTCAAAAGAAACTGTATTCCAAGGAAATATGATTTTTGATGATCAATCATTAAAAATCTTAGATGAGATTTTGGAGAAAACTAACACCTTAAATGAAGAAATAGTTAGTTAATATTTAATTACTTATATTAAAGAGTTATACAAATTATATATTTTTCTTTTTTCTTTTTCAGAATCAAAAAAAGATAATTGTAGGTGAAATGTTAAAAGAATTAAATGATAAAAAAWGTGATTTTGGATTAGTGGAAATAAAAACAGTTATGGATAGTTTAGCTGAAAATTATTTAAATAGAAATATTAACAGTAATTTGATTAGTCGGACAGTAACTTCTATAAAATCTTCTGTAGTTATGRATGTTAACAATATGAATAAATTAACAATTAAATCAACTCCAAGGTAAAAAAATAAACAGCTAGTAAATTAAATATATATTTTACTGTTTTGATATTTTACTATAGGTTAAGTTATATACATTTACGGACTTTGAAAGGTATGAAACAACACTCTGAAATAATTGATATTATTTCTGAAAAAGCAAAAAACTTTGAACAGTTCAGCATGGTTATATGTGAGTTTTGTTAAATTCTATTGTGAATAATATATGAATTATTTGTAAATGCATACATTTGTTTTAGCAACTGAAAATAGTCTTAAAGAAATTATACATAAAGAAAATATTCATAAATCAGAATTTGAAAGTATAATTTCACAAATGGAAAATAATATTTCAGAGTTAAAGTTGTGCATAGAAGATAGTAAACTTGTAGCTAACATTTTGTAAGTAAATAATTTTTACTAACTGTAATATGTTT